AATTTCATCTCAAGACAAATGAAGACAAAATCAGAAAAGAAAAAATGAGAACATATTTCTTAATGTTAATTTTTCTTATTGTATAGTTAAATAAAGAAAGAAAAGAATGCTCCTGAGTCAAGTGTTCGTGACTATCTGAGACACAGAAAAGGAACGTCGATACATCAAAATCTGGTGTAGGTGATAGTCAATAAACACGTTGCGAAAAATGAAATAAAAGTGATATAATAAAGTCCTGTGAAATAGTAAAAGTATAAAAACATTCTATTTTTAGTGAGATGGTTTGTGTGAAATTCTGTCTATTGTCTGATGACAACGTAATAGTCAATTCCTGAAATTTTTATTGAAAAATGGAAAAACAAAATTATTTTTCAATTGGTGAATACAAAAGCCGCGAAGTTTAAAAAACAAGTCATCTCTGAATTTCTGTTTTCTTTGAATAGAAAAAAAATAGGTATCTGTCTCTCAGTTTTGAAATTCTGAAATTTAAGCAAACGCTTGATATTTATTTTTGAAGCCTTTGATATTTCTGAAATTGAAGAAACGCGATTCTAATTCTAAATTCTGGGATTAAAAAAGCTCGATGTCTTGAATCTTGAATTCTTTCTTGAAACTTTTATCAATATAGACTTACTTGAATAATGTAAACACACACACACAAAAGTATTAACTAATTGGGCTGAGACATGTTAATACTGTGTAACGATGTTGCGCATCTTCCAAACGGTAATCTACTAATCGATGGTATTTCAGCATTTGTACGATTAGATGATGTCATAGAGCAACGTCTCACCGGCAGTTTTAGTCTATCTGTTTCATCCTTGTTACTAAGATCAATGTCTACTGCTGTTTCTATAGTGAATTTCTTTTGAAAAAAATGAATATTAGTCGCCATCCAACTTTGACTGTTTTTAGTGGTGCACTTATTAACCATTTTAATCTTTAATATTTCTAGCGGTTTCTATGTGTCTCTGCTTTGAACTTTTGACCGAAGTTCCGCATAAAAACTCAGCTTGGTAGGCTAGTGAGGTTTATAAGTAATATATCTGTATGGTTCAGTGAAGAACGTATTTGCGGCGAATAGACCAAGTTTAACTGTCGAGAAGAACAAATTATATTTTCTAATTTGTCTTTTGTTTATAGAGGACATATCGAAGCAAGCTCGTATGAGTCGTCAAAAAGCGGTTAGTTAGGAATCCAGTTGATATCAGTGTCCTCCGACTCAGAAGAAGACGAATGAGTGTGACTACTACCTATAATGCATCATCGGAAAACAGTACGATAAATAGACTCTTTTATTATAAAGAAACAGCTAAATAACAACCGTAACAAGTCAGAGTATGTGCATGTTTAAACTGTAGAAATACCACCGATCAATGGAATGTCTACATATATTATGAGACTGTTTAAAATCACTTTTTTGCTCAATAATGATTCCATGTTTCTTTCAATATTAATCAGTGGTTTTAGTTTTTCACGTTTCTTCTAAATGATCTAAAACAAATGATCTTAGAATTAGATGTAGCTGATCTTGACCCTACCGAGCATACTTAAAATTGTGAAAGATGTCGCTCTGTAACAGAAAGAAGGGACGTCAAAGCCGTTTATCAAATTCGTACACTTTAGTTAAAAATTCAAATTTACAACGTTATTTATTTTCCTGTCACTTTCACTTCAAATTTTTAAAGGCATTTCCGTGACTGTGTTCACATATATGGTAACTTTTGACGATGGCAATCTTCTGTTGTCTTTTTCTTTTACCGCAAATGCTTTTTATGCGAGAGAGAAAGAGATTAGAGTTGGAATTGAAAATAACCACGAAATGTAAATATTCAATGACTAATTGTATATTTTCGGAACAAGTGTCTGCCTAGTAAGCATGCACTTTTTGTATTCTGTGCTATTGTGTGTTGATAAGAAGAAAGAAGAATCAGAAAATGTCCCTTCGAAACATATCCTGGTCCGATTATATCCAGGATCTATTTTGAAATTTTCTGACGTGCAATGCTATCTATATGATAGCTCTTGTCCCAATTAAGGGACGACAGACTCTAACGTAGAAATATTTGTTCTGGAAAATCATCGAGTAAAGTTTTATGTTTTTCTTTCATATGCAGATAAACTTTTCTTTACTGTTTCTCTGATCTTTATTTGCTAACTATAAAAAAGCTACATAGTTTAAAACCAGGTGTTTATTGTCCTTTCGAAAATCTACGAGATTAGTATAACCAGGCACATATTTTATTACTCACTAGTAAAACTTCTTATAACTGCAATGTGGTATAAATACTAAGAAGTCAAGATCTATGATTCGTGAATTTTGTACTCAAGAACTTGACGAGAGCCTTTTTAAGCAAAAGTTTCAAGGTCTTGAGTAATCTACTTAAAATGTTTCAAGGACTTAACGATGAGTTTCTACAAGATTTTGGGTGAAAAATTTTTCATGTTTTTCTTTCGAGGATGACAACTATTGTCATCACGCATATTATCTTATATGATTGTAGATTATTTCACAAACAACTGTGTCCAAGAAAGGTCGAGATGTAAAAGTTTTCTCACTTATATATAAAGCAAAACGGCCATTCAAGAATTCTTGGCACAAAAAGTAAATAAGTTCAAAGTATTCAAAATTATGAATTCTCGGCATTTCTTTACTTTCTATGTTTTCTTATAAAGATCTTAGTGCGAAAATCCACAAAGTCAAGGTCTTGGTTTTAAGAGTTCCACTAGGGAATTTGATAAATAAAGTAGGATACACTTATTGATATCTGTGAAACTCTTCCTAGTCAATAGAAAATAAACTGTTTGCCAACTGTTCAGAAGCGACTAGTTCTAACCATTTCTCTAATACTATACTTTATCTCCTGTATTGTAAAAACAACCAAAAACAAAAATTCTGTTATGTAAAAGTGGAATAGTTAAATGACAGTGATTGTGTACATCAAAAAATGAAAATGGTATCTGAGGGTGTCTATTTTGAAAACTAAATCATAATTCTTTTTCTACTGAGAAGAACACTATGGGTTGTTATTTACAACAAATCATGGACTTGTTGGCACTATATTATTTTGCTTTGAGGCATTTTTGTATCATAACCTATATAAATGTGAAGTGATGTTCTTATTTATATTCAGGAACAAATTTTTTTTTAAGCAGTTGAATTCTTTAAAATTCGCACATTTTAAATTGAAAATCACTTGAAATGTTGTTTGTGCTACAGAAGTAAGCGAGTAAGAAGAAATAACAAACAAAAAGTATTTCTTTTGTTGTAAATCAATCTTTTTTTCTCTCATTTCTGCATTAATTTCACTTTTGAATTTACTAGTGACGCAAATTGAATATGTATGCAATCATTTAAATAGATGTATATTAGTCTTGATAATTGTACATATGACACGATGACAAGTGATCATCTTTATTTGTTTGTTTGTTGCTATCTTTCTGTCACTATTTCAGATGTATTAATGATATTGTATTTAGATTAAAAAGAGTATGTAAAGTAAAAGATGTAATAGATCGATTTAAAACAGTTTGCAGCCTGTGATACGATGCAAAAAATATAATTTCAGGTAAGAATAAAATTAAATTCTTTTTTTGCATTGAAAGTACATGATCTGCAGTTGTCACACAAGTGCATTAAGTATTGTTGTGAGTTCCAAGAAACGTATTGATCATGAAACATTGGCCAACAACTGACGGATGAAGTACCCAAACGATATGAGTAAACCACTTTGCTCTTTTTGTACAAGAATCAATTGTCTAATTTGAGAATCGCTTTGAATTATAAAAACTGTATACAGCCTCTTCACAATGTGAAAAGGATGTAGCTGCATAACTTCTTATATTTTTTTGTTAACACTTGTGAATTTAAGCTTCTTTTTAATAGACGTTAAAAGTCGTTTTGACGTCATTTTGTTTTATTTATTAATCTTCCGAAAACATTTTTTTATGAAAGTGTCTAATTTGTGTACATCATGCTCTCACTTCATCAAAGGATTTAATTTTAATAGCCTGTCGGAAGACTCATAGAAAAAAGAAAACATCTTTCAGGTTGTTGAGACATCTTTTCAATGTAATCACTTGAACTCAACGTTAGAGCTTTTACGAAATGACTAAAGTAATCAAGAGTGAGATTACATTTTAATCGTCCGATCAGTTGAGAAGAAAAATGTTTAGCGCAGAAAACTGCGGACTAAGACTTTTTCATGATAAGTCCGATGCCACAATGCGAAGTAAAAGATATTTAGGTCATAACTTTTACAAGCTGGAAACATGCGTTGAAATCATATAGCTTACATAGAAGGTTTATCTTTCTTGTTCCAGTAACGAACATCAATGCCTATCGGAACTGACTCTTTAAATCATCAACCACAATCACATCACCATTACACTTATCGACCTGCTCACCATTATAAAAGTACAATTCATCTCGTTACTTATAATCGAGATTCGAAAGATGAAGACGATCGACATAGTAGTTCAAATAAAACAAACACTGAAACTAACAGTTCGAATACTGCTCAGTACATTAAAAATCAACCAAATTCATCTTGTTCATATTCACATCGTTATCCATCTTCATTATCTCATAAGCCTACTACTAATACTCATTCATCAATTCGTACGAACTCTTCGTTATCTCGACAGTCGTCTAGCTTATCAAAAACAACAGCTGCAACCGCATTAGCAATTTTGTTAAAAGCGCATTCAGAGACGTCGTCTTCAGCATCAAATTTACTCGACATAGCTGATCATCAGCAAACACGTCCAGTGCCAAATAGGAGACATCGATCGATTATCACAGATTCTAGATTAACGAAAAATGATCACTATATGCAGCCATCACAACCATCTTACTCTTCTCTACTTATGCTGAATCGAACAAATCAGACAATTTCTACTCAGGCACCCAGTATACGTCGATGTGTTTCAGTCTTAGGAAAACGATATTCTTTCTCTGACTTAAATACTCTAAAACCAAATACGTCACGGACAGAAAAATCATTATCGTCACGTTCGAATAATCAAGATTGGAATGAACGAGAAACACTAAATAATAGTAAAAGTAGGATATCATTAGATTCTAATGGTTCTCTATCATCTCGGATGTCTAATCATCATCATCAACCACCGCCATTAACTATGACTAGAAACCATATTTTATTGAAATCGAAATCAAATAGTTTAATGACGTTGAATGATTTAACTGTGAATAAAGTGAAGAATGAACGATTACATGACACAAGTTCGATACAGTCAAATAGTGAAAATACAATTAAGTACAATGAACAAGAACAATTGAAAAAAAAGTCGGGTAATTTTTAATGAAATATCAATCGTTTCTAATTGTTATAACTGGATGAATTGTCATCCTACCCAAGGAAATGTCGTAAATAAGGTGAACAAAAAATTTATTTTCTTAACATGGATAATTTAGTCCCTTCATTTGCCGATGATGTTTGAGATGCACAATAGTTTACTATAAGGGCACACTCTCGACGTACTGCAATAGTTGAATTCTATGAAAGGAGTTAGTTTATTAAAGTTCTTCTACCCCAGTGAAAAACTTATTCGAATCTTACTAAGATCTTAGAAAAATCTTGTTAAGATCTTACGAGGAATGATCCGCAACTGTCTAATCGCTTTTGACGTAAAAAGTAGTGGACCATAGGTAATCGATGGTCCTGAATCCGAATCTGACCTTGGTTTTTTCCGTTAGGCCTCGCAAATACCGGTTCCTGAAAAACTGGTTTTCTAGAAACTCTAAAAAAATAATTAAAACGTTTCTTAATGAGACAAGATTGTATCCCGGAAATTTCTGATTAAAATGAGACGTCTCCCAGCTCCACACAACCTTTCTTTACAAAGTTAGAGAATTTACAAGAAAAGTTTTGAAGTTGCTAACTGTAAATGCTCAAAGTTACAGAAATAAGACGAAATCAATTTAGGGCTTTTCTTGTAAATTCTCTAACTTTGTAAAGAAAGGTTGTGTGGAGCTGGGAGACGTCTCATTTAATCAGAAATTTCCGGGATACAATCTTGTCTCATCAAGAAACGTTTTAATTATTTTTTTAGAGTTTCTAGAAAACCAGTTTTTCAGGAACCGGTATTTGCAAGGCCTAACGGAAGAAACCAAGGTCAGATTCGGATTCAGGACCATCGATTACCTATGGTTCACTACTTTTCACGTCAAAAGCGATTAGACAGTTGCAGATCATTCCTCGTTAGTAAGATTTCGCTTACATTTGTCTAAGATCTTCAACAACAAATCTTACTAAGATCGTGAGACCCGAAAATTCTAAGATCTTAATAAGATTTTTCTAAGGCCTTACTAAGATTATACTGTCTAAGATTTTTTCAAGATTGGATAAGAATCTGTTAGGATCTTAATAGTAAGAATGACGATGTTATTTAAATAATATTCATTCAAGGTTCGCTGAAAATTTTTCAGATTTTAATCCGCATTATCCAAAGCAGCAGTTGAACAGTGTCGAAGAATGAAGAGAAATTTCATATTTTCAGGTGTCCAACTATGGACCTTGACCTACATGTACACTCTAAACAGTTGTTGAACACTTTCGAGAGAGCAAGTACTAGCAGAGTCTGGAAGAAAAATAACCGCAAAATCAGTCATATTTTCGATGTTACTTATATAGATGAATGAGAGCAAAACTAAGGGGTAAATAAAAGTAGAGTCATTAAATCTTATTAAGATCTTAAACGATAAGATCATAGCTGATCTTATCAAAATCTTAAAGGATAAGATCTTAGTAAGATAATTTTAAGGGTTCTACTAGGGTAATTTACTTGTACGAAGCGTGTATTGAGGAAATTATTTACAATTTTTGCATTTTAGTGATCCATAATTTAAAACCGGATGTTCAACCCAAAATTTTGGGTTTAGATGAGAATAATTGTCTTCCTAACGTTCCACATTCTAAACATTCTATTAGACAACATTCCCATGAACATTGTCCGATCACCTATCAAACTCAATTGAGTTTGGGAACAACGACAACATCTGATTCTGGTTCAGATAACACAATCTTGAATCATTTGCCAGAACAAAATGAGACCACCGATAAATCACAATCAAGTCTTCTAGAAGAATTATTAAATAACGGAAATTTGTTGTCACCACGAAAAAATCCCGTTAAACATTTAAATCGTTTACGTTCATGTAATACAGCGCCTTCAGATCTATTCGAAAAAAATAATCCCAAACCACCACAATTAATATTTTCTATACCATCATTGAACAACAATGCCGAATCATCATCGAATAGTAATAATGATGATAGAGAAGCACGAAAAATTGAAAAAGAAATATATGAAGAAAGAAAGAAGAAAATCGAAGAACAAGAGCAAGTGGTGATTAATGTGGCAGAATATGCCCAAGATATATTAAAATATTTACGTGAAAGGGAGGTAATGTCGGTCAAAAGGAATCATCCTATAATTTGAGTTCATATACGTTTACAGCAACCAGTAGGGGAAAATCACTATATTTAATTCAAAAAATCAACAACTGCATTATTGTAGAGTCTTCCTTCTAACTTTTGCTTCTGATACATCTCGACCTATCCTTATTTCTTTCATCTTCAAATAGTTTCTTTATAATTTAAAAATCGGACTCTGTCAACTCCTACCTATAGGTGTTATCTTCAAATCAAAAAAGAAAAACTTCCTCCGATGTATTGTTACCCAGAATTCCTGTGAATGGCGAAAGCCCTGAAGCTAAAAAACAGTCTTATGAAAAACGCAAAATAAGTTCTGATTCTGTTAAACGCGTTTTACTTAAAAACTGTTTGAGCGTTAAATAATTTGTCGATATTTTGCTACAGATTATCGGTCATGCGGATCTAATGAACATGTGCGCGGTCATGTGCGGCACGTGCATGCACTTATGCAATAAAAGTGCAAAAAAGCCAAACTTTTTTGCTATGGGGCTTCTGGAAAGCTCGCTCAAAAGCTATGAAAAACCTATTCTATCGACACAAAAATTATGTCATTAGAAAGTAGACACTTTGGGCTATTCAACCCTGTGCTTTTCTCAAAATCAATGCTATTGCCGAAAATCGGCATTTCTAACCTGGGGGAGGGGAGCCTTAATAACATCCCGCGATCTCTGCGGAAGATGATCTTGATCGGTATCCTAGTGAAACTTCTTGTAAACAAGATCTTGACTTGAATTTTTTCAGTACGATCTTGATCCAAGATCTTGGTAAGAAAATGCAAGAAGTCGAGATCTTGAACATCTTGCAATTTCTTGACTTCTTACTCATACCAAAGTCTTGGACTTGAATCATCGTGTTGTTTTACACTCTTATGTAAATATAAGTGCTAATATTTTTCATACTTAGAATAGCTTCGAATTTTTTCCTTTTTGACCATAGTTTTTTAAAAAAGAACCTATGATTCTATAAAATAAAACGTAAACTCAAGCTCTTGCAACATCTTGAGTGGATGCACTCAAGTTCTTGAGATTTCTGTTCCCAAGATCTTGAGTGGAGTAAGCCAAGATGTTTCAAGATCTCTTAGCTCCCCATAAGTTACACTCCTCTTTCATAGATAACATGATGCAAGCCTCCGTCAGAATTTCGCAAAAATCATAACCATACAACGTTGGTAATATGATGTAAAGCATGATTTTTTGCAAGAAAAATGAATAGCAGACGAACTTTACTACAGAACAAATCGAAACAAGGCCGATCCTATCCGAACGGACTGTGACCTAAACCTCGATACTACTGAGAAAAAATTTTTCAACCCGAATAGATGCGAAAATTGAAAAATTTTCAGTTTTTTAAAAAAATTCAGTTGTGAAAAGGTTTCGAATGTTGTGAAGTGTGCTAAAGACATTTGGTGTAAAATATGCTATTATGATGCATTTTCTGTCCCTTAAACTCAGAATGAAAAGCTTAAAGAAATTTTTGTTCTTGATCGGAACTAGCGGCGTAGCCACCGGGTGGACCGGGATGGGCTCAACCCACCCACTAAAAGTTTTATAATCCACACTACTCTGCGCTAATGTCTACCACTTTGAAAAAGTTTGAGGCAATGCTCACCCACTAACAAAATCCTGGCTACGCCACTAATCCGAACAGGAACAAAAACATTCAGTTGTTGTGCAAGCATGTTCACTTAAGTAAAGCGTTTAACAGCGATACCGTGCTACGATAAAAAACTAGATGTATTTCAGCAACTGTCAGAAAGAAATATGTACTCATGCTCGATAAAGTCCGTACTGGACCACCTCTGGTAATATAAAAGACAATTTCCTGCGTCGTTGCTATTCTTCATTGCCATCCAAGAGAACTACGGATTATACAATTGTTGACGAAACAATCACATTTTAAAATATTTACATACGGCTTTTTCACCTTTACTGTTTTTAGCGTTCATGCCGTCCAAAGCCAAGTTATATGCGTAAACAAAGTGAATTGACATGGGATATGCGTGCAACACTAATTGATTGGTTATGTGAAGTGGCTGATGAGTACAAGTTATTTTCAGAAACATTTCATTTAGCTGTAAATTTCATTGATCGTTTTCTATCTCGAATGTCCGTCACAAAATCGAAATTTCAAGTAAATTCTTTATAAAATACAATATGGTAGAGAGCAATATTGATTTCACTCTGTTTTCATTTAGTTGATTGGTACAGCCGCACTTTATTTGGCAGCGTATGTGGATTTTAGTTGTATTTTAAAATTATCATACATTTTTACTTCGATTTTAGTAAATGTGAAGAAGTTTATCCACCAAATGCAGCTGAATTTGCTTATGTTACAGATAATGCTTATTCAAAAAAGCAGGTAATTGAAAACTGTGGTTTGAAAAAAATGCATTCAAAATTTTTTTGACATAGGTGTTAAAAATTGAGGATTTACTATTGAAAACACTACATTTTGAAGTATCAGTAGTCACAACACATACTTTTTTGTTGCATTATATGAAATTTGTTGAAGTTGATGAAGTAACAGAAGATTTAGCCAAGGTAAAAAAGTAAACTATATATTTAGTAAGAGCTTGAACTAATTTTTATTATTTTCTAGTATATTGCTGATATAACACTGTTGGATCCAGAGTGTATTCAACAAACCCCAAGTTTACAAGCAGCAGCAATTTTGTGTCTATCCTTGCATATGAACAAAAAACCCGCATGGGTAAATTTTGTGTGTTTCGTTTTGTGAAACTACTTCCATTCTACGCCGAAGCAGCAGAGGAACTGAAAGTTTACAACTAGAGAAAAAGTAGTAGAATAATCTCTTAGATTCCCATATCGCCCGACGTTGCAGGTGTTTTTTAGATATTTAAGCGTACTGTCTTTTATTAAGCTTCATATTTATCTCTGTGTTATCATGATTGTTCCGATTAAACGAGTCCGTTGCATCTAGATCATTTCACGTATCTCACCCGAAAACGTGGTCTCGTAACTTTTTATGTTATTTTCTCATGTTTACATCGTTCGAACAAAAAGACGTCCGGAGTTCGCGATTGACTCATTTTTCGAAGAAAAGTGTGCATAACACACTGTCATATCTCAGAACATTCTAGAGTTTAGAGTTAAGGGAATATTGCCATAATATTCACCACTACCTAGGTCGAATTTGCCCGATCAGATCCTGTGGAATCCTTTTAATTCCGGTGATTTTCAGAGATCGGAATCTACTCAATTCCTTTACGTTCCGATATTTGGTTCCTGGAGGATCCGGAGATCGGATCCAATATCCGGAACCAGTCGGATCCGTTAATTTCCGGTGATGGGAAATTAGATTTAGATCCTGTGATGTGCACTTTATTTTTTTTCTTTCTTTTCTGTACGCTTAATATATTCACCATTTAACTTCACGACAGGAGCATTTTAAGTACGACACTACAGAAAATGAAAAATGAGAAGTTGTTCTCAGATTCTTAACGGTGCGAGTCATCGCTCACATTGTTGAACGACGTGTTGTACACGTCCTAGCTCGTGGGTCCTTTGACTCTCTCGAATGAACAGACAGAAGAATCCCTAGAAAATGAAAGAAAAAAGCCGCCGCCGTCGCCATAGACGAAATTTGTTTTTGAAGTTTCTGCTGCTGATCCGAAACTTTTTCAAAACTTCTTTGAAGAAAATTTATTGAAAATTAAAATTTCTTTTAAAATTTTAATGCGCCAAAGGCGAAAAACGTTTTTTTTAGTTTTTCGACGCCGTCACCGCCGCCGATAAAGTAATCGGCTAACACCTCTAGTTGTATGGACCCATCACAACCGTCTTACTCTTCTCTACTTATGCTGAATCAAACAAATCAGACAATTTCTACTCAGGCACCCAGTATACGTCGATGTGTTTCAGTCTTAGGAAAACGATATTCTTTCTCTGACTTAAAAAACCTAAAGCCACTAAAGCCTACGCGTCTTTTCGTTTGAAAGACATAGAAACGAAAAAATAGCGCAAAAAATTACGGAAGCACATTTTCATAGGCCTATGACGTATCACGGGTGATACGTGGAATTACCTACCTACAGCTAATATTTGTTTGCCGTTGACATCTGCCTATTTCCAGTCTTTGATCATTAGTACCCTAGTGAAATTTCTTAAATTTTTCCAGTAAGATGTTGACTCAAGATCTTAATAAAAAACGAAAGAAATTCCAATAACTCAAGAACGTGTTTAAACTTCTTAGTTATTGTATCAAGATCTTGATGATCCTTGAATCACTGTTATGTTTCACACGATTGCTAACATATAAAATGTAAGCACGAAAATTTTCTTACTTAGAATAACTTCGAAATTTTTCCTGTGTTGAGTAAAGCTATTTAAGAATGAGCCTATGACCACATATGATTGTACGTCTAATGGTTAAGGTAGTCATATAAGAAAGAAAATATAAAAAACTTTCATCACAATGCTCTCACATATTTTGATTCGATTAAAAATCGACAAAAATCGATTCTCACAGAATTTCGAGTACAAGGGGTTTCGCTAGTGTAGTATTTTTGTGATGATTTTCTAGTGGACTTGTTCGATCTTTTCTTTCTTGGTAGTTTGGTACTTTTCTTTGGTTTATTTTGGCTGACATTTCTGTTTCTATCGTATAATTCATATTAGCTACCATGTAGTCAGTCAGATGGCTTTACATTAATACAATAATACTCATTATGATAATATCAGTATATACGAAAGAAAAACATATATAACAAATTCATGAGATCAATAATGGATTTTGATTCATAGATAGTCCGTCTATATATTACAAAGTTTTTCTTTTAAATCTATTTCTCATTGTTTAGTCGTATGAATTAAAAGAATATACGAGCTATACAATAAGTTCGTTTTACGATGTCATGGAAAAAATATTTTGGAATTTTGCCAAAGCAACTATTAATGGAAAGTGGGCAATAACAAAGAAATATCGTCATATGAAACATCATAATGTTACTTCGATTGAATTACCAACAGCGTTACCGTTCAAAATTATCGATGACATATAATAGTGGTAGAATCTCATATTATTTTATTTTCTTCTTCATAACAAAATGTATGTCTTCCGAATTCAATCTGAAACTAATAAAAATATCTTATATTTTCCTGTTTTTATATTGCGCGCACACTCGTTTTTCTATGTTCATAGAACAGATCTCATCATCTTCTTTTCATTTTTTTTCTATTCAATTCTATTATGATTAACAGTTCTTTAGAAATTGAGCTTTACCTGATGTTGTATTGTAAAACATTGTGAGCGGTTTAATCTGACGATAACTGAGAAATAGTCTAGAGACTTAGCACATTGTTGTGATCGAGACAAAACGCAACATGCTGTGAGTCTCATTATATCCATTATCTTCCAGGTCTGTTCACTATGTGTTCTTTAGGTCAAGTGCTTTTTCTTCTCTGTTTTTACGTTTTTCTAGGAAATTTTTGTTTTTTATGCAGACAAAATTCTTTCGTTATGCTTTTGTGTTTTTTTGGAAAACGACATTATTAGACCTTAGACTAGTGTTCATTGTGCACTCATTTTCAGTGTTCGGGCTCTACGTAGTGTAGTATTCAGTCAATTTTTTTTGTTTGCTACGCATTTTATACAATGAACTGTACACATATGTCACTTTTTTGTATTTTTGTACAAAAGTAAAAAATTTGAATTTCTATGTGTATTGTAGTTTTATTTCAATACGACTATTCTATATGACAAATTAATTTTTAATTATTTGTTTTGATCGTTACTGTTTAACTTATTTATTTAGCTTGTGTTTTTTTAATTTTCTGTGAGAGATTTTGTTTTTCTAGAGCAGTAATTATATGATTTTGGCTTTTTCTCTTATTAAAATTAAGTTATACAGATATTTCATATTCTTTTAAATTTTGCGATAAATTTCTAGCATCTCTTACTTAGATGTCAAAATTAATTAACTCATTTCATTTCGCATTTAAAAGTTCGCAATTGAATAAGTTACATAAAAAGCCAACAAAAACAATCAAATCAATAAAAATAAACACTAAAAAACATCGAGTCGATGTTCATGATTATGGTTTATGCGAAATCCTGACGGAGGGCTGCATCACGTTATCTAATATGAAAGAGAAGTGTAACTTATGAGGAGCTAAAGTGACTTTTTTAACCCCATTTCCCTCCACTTAAGGAGAACATTGCAAGACTCTTTTGCGGGAGCGCGCATAGTTCAAAAAAATTCTTTTAACATTATTTGATATCAGTCTACATCGTTTGTGTCCGTGTGCCTGTCACGGTAATTTAAAGAAAGCGTCATTAATATATCAGTTAAGTGAGATATATTTAAACAGGTTTCATGCATATATTATATAAACTGTAATTTACTGAAAGAACATCCCAGATCGGGCCGTACGTGCACGGCAGGCTCTGTACACAACGTACGCGTACGTCATTTGTATCTACTGTACAAAATGCATATCATGCGCACAATGCGCAACATGTACCATTTTTAGAGGTTTATCACAGATGTCAGATAAACATGTTACTATGGAACTGTAGAGAGAGAAAACCAGGTCACGCTCGGTACACGCACCTTGCATACACGTTCATCATGTATACCAATCGAAACGTACAGAGAGTGACGTGCGCGTACAACGGGCGTAGCGCTCTACGTGGATACACGTAGAGAATGATTCTGTCACAATCATATTCGTTCGTTGAATTCAAAATAGAAATCGAACATAATTTTTTGTGATATTTATATTCGATATATACCATAGATTTTCTGCCGTTTTTAATTCCAAAAGAGACTGATTGCTTAGACTTCTGTGATTAGAAAAATATCTCACTTGCACCAAAATAGTAAAACTAAAACAGTGAAATTTTACTTCAAAATAAACCGGGTTTTTTTCGAACAATAGAACTGGTCTCAGAAAAATAGATGTACAGAATAAAATAAAAATAAGTATTTAAGTGGAATTATTTTTCTTTTCTAAATTTTGTTAGTAATCTAGCTCTTGGACTAATATCACCTGTGTATGCTGTAATAGCTCGCGCAGTTGTTGAAAATAAAGCAGCATTATTTTCGCGTTCATTCTTACTTTTGTGTTTAACAGCTGTACAGCATAAACGCTTTAATGCGCGTGGAAAATTTCCTCCAAAAGATAAATAAATTAAAATATTAATTGAATAACTTAGATAACTCAGATACATTAATATCATATCTCGATAGGTGATCATTTTTATTTTATTTTCATCCATAGTTGTCTGATTATTATTATTGTTATCTTTTGTATTTTGGTAGAACATCATTAAACGTAAATAGTAAGATGGAAAATTCAATGATAAACACGTGAAAGAGATAGCCAATAACATTTTTGTTAATCTTACTTCTGTTAGAATATTTCGAACGGATTCTGGTCGTCGTTTTCCCGATACACTTCTTAGAGATTGGAATGTTCTATGAGGCGGTTGAGGATGAGATGTTTGAATAGCTTGTTGTTTTTCAGCTACAGTATTTAAACTGGAACGTGATGATGATCTATTTGTAAATGTTCGATAGACAGCTGTATGTTGTTGCTGTTGTTGTACATAAGATTTTGTTGATGGTATAGCTTGAGTTTGTGGATTTGCACTTTTTTGTGGTGATGATGGCACGGATGAACGCGCAACACTTGATTGTTCCATTTTTATTGATCTGTTTGTCGTCCAATTGGATGTTCGACGTGTATGATATCGACTACCGTTTTCAAACACATACATTCGAAATGTTTCGGAACAAAATAATTTTCGTATTATTAATATATTTAATACTGAGACAAGTATAAATGGTAAAAACATTGTCATAAATGTGTCGACAATATTCATGTTATTGAGATGACGAACATGTTCAGGTTTCTCACGACATTGTCCCTTATCATCAACTTCAGCTGCAAAAAATGCTGGGTAAATATAGAACAGAAATGCTGGTATTAATATAATTGGAATCACTTGATGAGAGGTGGATGTTGTACAACGAGACATGTGTTTCAATGGACTAGTAACAGCAAAGAAACGTTCAGCAGTGAAAGCTAATACGGTCCATATATGAACGAACGCTGCTACGAATGATACATATGTTTCAATTTTACATAACATACGAAAACTGTATAGGTTACGGACGAATGCATTGGAAATCCAACCAGGTAACAAAACCAATAGAAAAAAAATATCGCTAATGGCCAACGTTAACAGATACGATGAAGATCTTACTCGTCTAAAAACAAAGAATATTCACATCAGATGGAATCGATAGAGAAGGGATTTTTGTAGCAATAAAAATTATTTTCCAAAATTTCATTGTTTAAGTGCTAGATGGCTATTCTAGTAAGAAATTTAGACTCTTCTTAAAATTATCTTGCTAAGATCTTCTAAGAGTGCACTTTTTAAGTTAATGACGCGATAATCTAAGGTATTGATTAGATCTTAATAACATTTGATAACTTCGATTTCATTCACCCTCTTTTGCTTTGCCCTTTTGCATGTATATAAGTAAAATTAAAAGTATAACTGAATTGCACTGTATCATTTTCATTGAAGACTACTCTCACTTGCTGTCTTGAAGATGTTCTGCAATTATTATCTTCACGAAATGTAAGTTAACGTTCAGAGATGGATGCCTGAAAATATAGAATTTCTCTGCGCTCAGAAATGTTTTTCAAAAACACTATTACATCAAATATTCCACATAAAGTCTCCTGTTCAACTGCAATGTTCGACGACAGACTCACACTAGAATTTCATCATGAGAAAGAAATCTCTTAGCATTTGTACAAGATACTCAAAATTTCTTATGCAATCATGAATGAATCTTGTTGGAAAACATAATAGCTCTTCGGTTGAGATGGGCGAGTACGAGTTTGTACTCGTACTCGAGTACAAAATTTCTAGTACTCGTACTCATACTCGTACTCGGGACTTTTTTTAACGAGTATTCCAAAAAACACTCGAGTACTTCTGTGACCAAATTGATGACCTTTTTTTTACTATTTGCGTATTAAAAAATCGATTTACTCGGAAATTTTTTCGAATTCATCGGCTTCTTCAGAAAAAAAAATACTCGTACTCGTACTCGATCTTCAGTACTCGTACTCGTACTCAGAAATCCGTGTACTCGCCCATCTCTGCTCTTCGAAAGATCTTAACAAACGTTCAGTCGATGTTAAAAAGCCTTTGATAAAGTAACCTTATCTTGATAAGATCTCAGTCGAGTCTTATCAAACCTTGAAATTCTCGAGTTTCATGATCTTTGTAAGAGTTGACACAGATCTCTGACGAATGTGGGCAAAATCTCAGAAAAAAATCTTAATAAGATTCAAGTAAGAGTCTCACTTAGGTGTGTAAAGCCGAAAGTGTAGTCCAGAATCTTCAAAATGATTTCTCGAAAAATTGGAATCTTAGAGCAAAAAATTGCGAAGGACTTTTTATCCTCCAAATACCAGTATCACAGATGGTTCGATGAATTTGTCGAACTAATTATGAATATGATATTGTTTTGATTAGAAATGATGCTTTTGCAATGAATAAAATACAATTTTACGTCAAAAACCAAGAAAGGAAATGCGTAATGACATTTAGAGATGCTTATGCAGTGATATGCTATAGTTTAAATGGAAGAATATATGTGCAAAGTTAGAGGGTGTGCTAGATTATGCGCAGTCATTCTATTGTAGACCCCCAGATAGAGCGCTACGCCCGTTGTACGCGCACGTCACTCTCTGTACGCGAGGTACGGGTGACGTACGTTTCGATTGGTACGCATGACGAACGTGTATGCACTGTGCGCGTACCGAGTGTGACGTGATTTTCTATCTCTACAGTTCCCCAGGTAGAGCGCTACGCCCGTTGTACGCGCACGTCACTCTCTGTACGTTTCGATTGGTATACATGATGAACGTGTATGCAAGGTGCGTGTACCGAGCGTGACCTGGTTTTCTCTCTCTACAGTTCCATAGTAACATGTTTATCTGACATCTGTGATAAACCTCTAAAAATGGTACATGTTGCGCATTGTACGCATGATATGCATTTTGTACAGTAGATACAAATGACGTACGCGTACGTTGTGTACAGAGCTTGACGTGCGCGTATGACAGGCGTACGACCCGATCTGTGAAGTGACATTCAGAAAATTCATTAGTAATAGAGGATAAACTTTTCTCCAATTTCTAGATTAAACTAAAAAAGAAATAGAGATGTATTGATGAAATCGATTCCAGTACAGAATTTACAAGAAAAGATGATTCATCTTTGTCGATTTATAGCCTCTTTTTAAGAATAGATTCCTCTCCCCGCAAATAAGTAATAAAATTCTACTAATGAGAAAAGATAACCGACGTTTGTGAAGTATATTATTTAATATAAAAACATTATATTCTGAACACTTTTACTCTTTGGCTGAGGTCCGCAGGATGCCCACCCCGTAGTGGATCAACTTAGCCAATAACCTTTTTCTGATATAATGTTCCTACATGAAGTTTGATAGTATAATTTTTCCTTTCATAGCTTTGTGTCGCTCGATGCATTAGTAATTTCAACGAAAAAAGAGGTTGAGATAAGAAAAGGAGTGTAGATGCATTCGGGATAAGCTAGTTATAGGCCGCTCTCGAAGTGATAACGAAGGTAAACTTATAAACAGTACTTGCTTATTAATTAACAAGCTAAGTAGCCTCTACTATTGCATAATCGCTTACTAGAAAAATTTTACTAATTTTTTTTAACTGTGTTAATGAAACTAGAAGGAGCTTTATCTATGTACCAAAATTAAGAACACAATTTGTCGCAGAATGTTTTACTTTTTGCCATTTCTTAGTAATAATCTGGAATAAGACGGGTTAACGAGTTAACATTCAATACATGCACATATAGAATGAGCTCATAATTATGTGATGGATCTCTTTCATCTTTTGTATGTATATAAATAGCTTTAGGCGATGATACTGATTGATCCCCAGATATCAGTGGCAGTTTTTGGATTATTTTATTTACCTCAAAGTTTTAGTACTGAACACAATTGCACATATAATATTTCCCGATATACCAAAAAAGACTAATGTTGGAACATAAAATAACTGAAGTATTTGTATATAATGACTTGATGATGATGATGATAAAGTTCGATTTGAATCATTGTTCACAGTTGAAATTATATGAACAATAGAACTGATTGTTTCATTATTCATTATAAAGAAATTTTCTTTTTATTAAATAGTAAATATAGTTACAAAATAATAATATTTGATTATGTATGTCATCATTTGAGACTGATGATTTTTTTCTGCTTTTCACGTTAATGGTGTAGTATTCTTTATTATTTCATAAAATGAATAGAACGTTCTTTTTTCTGTTGTGTTAGACTAGTTGTTGTCAATGAATGAGTTTTCTACTTTGTTTTCTTTCATTAAAAAGAATGCTTTCTCTTTCGTATGTAAAATCTACGAAAAAAAAGAGAAGAAAATAATAAGCAGAGAGAAAATAGAGAATACCGATGAAATGATTACAATAACAGATATCATAGAACAGAATGTCATTTGATGAGGCAATATACAGTTAGTAAATCTTATTCGAGTCAATAGCTTTGACATCACAAAGGATTCTTACGCATTTTGAACATATTGAAATTCTTTTCTTTTAAAATATGCTTATATGTCTTTTTGATGGAATTAAAGATCAGTAAGAGTTGTAGATCATACAAAGTATGTAATTATAATGGCACACGTACCTGACTCACACAAAGTAAAGACTGCTTTATTGAAATAAAAAGGATCACATATCTTCTTTAATGATTTGGTCATTGATCAAATTGGTTTTTTTTTTTTCTTTTTTTAAATTGAATGTTCCAACAAAAGAAAAAGAGCCTACAGCCTCTCGCGTCATGTTATTATCTACGCAGGAAGATTATCTATTTGCATAAAAGAATAGAAGTGTTCGTTCATTTCTTTTTTCCCCACATCTTCATTAACTTATTTGAGGAATTTAAAAAAATTTGACACATTAATAAGGGCAAACAAAAAAAGAGCTATAGAAAATATATATATATAAATTTTTTCTTTTTTAACGCTTAAACACGTAGAAACTATATATTAATTAAATGTGTATATAATATTCTTCAAGAGAAAATATTTACAGGGTGTATCTGCTACTAGCATTGATATAGAACTTAGTTCTTTTGATCTTAGAGATATTCTCTCCGTTGCTGCCATCCATCCATCAATTATTTGAAAAAATTGAAACTGTCAAACACGGAAAACACTGCCGATATAAAATATTTTAAATGGAAATGTTATACAACATCTTTGCTCGAACAGCCCTGTCGATAGTTCGTATAATTTGATTTTTTTTTTCAAATCAAAACACAAAGGAAAAAAGGATGCTTACATGATAGTTTGTTAAATTTTTAATCATTTATGCATTAATCAATATATATATATATATATATGACTACATGACATGTGCACGATATATTAATAAATAAGTTGATTTGTGAAATAGTCAAAAAATACAAACTTTAAATGTATAGGTTAATCCTCATATATTCACAAAATCGAGCTTGATTAGTATGTGGGAAAATATTGCTAAAAGCCAACTGGTTTTATCCCCATTATTTTCTTCTTAAGAAAAAGATTACAGTTAGCCTCTTCAATTTTTTTCTCTTTTTATGGGCAGATAATTAGTTAATTTCATCACTCATGAAATGATGTTTGAGCCGTCTTGATATTACGTTTTTTTGATAAACATCTTTCTCAAAACATATAGTTATTTTCTGACATGTTATTGTTATTGTTGATTTCATTTGTCACAATTATTTATACACTTATATAAATATTTCACTTTTTCCTAAACAGAAAGATCATTTAATTAACAAACAAGAAATCTAATTTATGTTACACGATATCGTTCAACGCTATACATTTATTTCTTCGTGACAATTTTGATATTGTTTTTATTCCTGATTAATGATTAATTCTAAATTCGACATATAAACATGATTACATTAAACATAAACTGGTTAAAATGATAGAAACTGTGTGCAATTAGGAGTATTCATACTAAAAAAAGATTACCTATAGATTAGTCCTTATCGTGCAGTCGATCTGATC